TAAAGCACTGTTTATATTTTATATTGCAAAAAGTCGAACGCCGTGTTATCGATAATTCATTGCCGAAATATTTTTATATTATAAAATATACATTAGCGTGGAATATTAAATTATAAAAGTATTTTTATTTATTGATTAAAATTGATTATTTATCATACAATTACACAAAGCTTTACACAAAGCTTTTGTTATGCTAATTATTTGCATCTATAATTCAATTGTTTTACTTTGTGTTCTCTCACATCATTGATTATTTATCATACAATTACACAAAGCTTTACACAAAGCTTTTGTTATGCTAATTATTTGCATCTATAATTCAATTGTTTTACTTTGTGTTCTCTCACAGTCTCCCCTTCCCAAATTATATTTAGATTGTTAAGTAAAACGATAAAGTAAAACGGATAAAATATATCTGTGATTCTAAGTAATAAAATAATAATTATTGTCCGGAAAGATCGCAACAATCTAAGTGATGATTTAATATTTTGCATCATCATTCATTCGATTCTCGATTAAAATGTATATTGTTTAATTATAACAATAAGGATTGAGAAAATTTAAAGCATTGGTCGAAATATAGCTCATTCAAGTATTGTGAAAGAAATTTTATAATAATCAGTGATGGATATCATAACATAATTAAATCTTTTATCCTGTTTTACGTACCTCGTGTTTCAATTTTTGCAATAATAAATGATGCGATTCGATAAAGCTTTATCGTTGTGATACAGTTTCATGTCGTTAATTAATTTTTAATTAATTTTTAAATAATTAATTTTTGTTAATATTTATAGCAAATTATGTTTTAATATTAATCGTAATCGTGTTTATTAAAAAAATTATAGTATACGAAACGTTTCTTACCACTACTTTATTATTCGAAAGCCATCGTGCGAATGATGACAAAGCGACAACGTACAGCGCGCTACTGTTTATATTTTATATTGCCAAAGTCGAACGCCGCGTTATCGATAATTTGTTGCTGAAATATTTTTATATTATATATATTATAAAATATACATTATTGTGAAAGAAATTTTATAATAATCAGTGATGGATATCATAACATAATTAAATCTTTTATCCTGTTTTACGTACCTCGTGTTTCAATTTTTGCAATAATAAATGATGCGATTCGATAAAGCTTTATCGTTGTGATACAGTTTCATGTCGTTAATTAATTTTTAATTAATTTTTAAATAATTAATTTTTGTTAATATTTATAGCAAATTATGTTTTAATATTAATCGTAATCGTGTTTATTAAAAAAATTATAGTATACGAAACGTTTCTTACCACTACTTTATTATTCGAAAGCCATCGTGCGAATGATGACAAAGCGACAACGTACAGCGCGCTACTGTTTATATTTTATATTGCCAAAGTCGAACGCCGCGTTATCGATAATTTGTTGCTGAAATATTTTTATATTATATATATTATAAAATATACATTAATACGGAATATTAAATTATGGAAGTATTTTAATTTATTGATTAAAATTCATTATTTATTAAACAATTTATCACGAATCTTTTCGTTATGTTAATTATTTGCATCTTTTATTCGATTGACCTCGCTGCCGAAATATTTAACGCGTACTATGACGTACATATACGAAAATTAAATTTATATACAAGTATATTTTTAAAATCACACACACATGTACACACAGATTAATTATTTATTAAACGATTAATATACATCACAAGGCTTTCCATTACGTTAATTATTCGATTTTGTCATTCGATCAACGAAATATTCTTAATTATAAATATTAAAAGAATAATAATTATTGTTCCTAAGGATTGCAACAAAATGATAATTTATAATTTTGATTCCGGTCACACATCGATTCTTAATCGCATTCGATTCTATTTTTAATTAAATGAACACATCACGCGAAATACGTGTTTCGAAATTATATTCTCATTATATTCCAATCGTATAATCGAGTATTTCGAATAATGCAAAGAGCAATGGTCAAATCAACTATTTATTAATAATAAAATTGTAACTTACGTATTCCGTTTATCCCGTACGTTAACATCGCGGCAACAATGAATAAACTTTTAAAATAAATAATCAGTATATCGAAACAGTTTTACCGATTTAATTACTGATATAAAAACCGATTAATTGACCAGTTGGTGAAACTGTTTCATTATACTGGTTATTTTCTTAAAAGAATTGTTATATGACGAATTGATATATTATTTTTACGCGCGTCACGCGTTCGAACTCAATTTTGACTCCTCGCGGGAAGACTCGAATCGTTCGTCGAGAATCGATCCTTCAAAACGCGATTGTTCTGTATAATTTTTACAATTAGTGATTATTAATTTGTACGATTTTTATTTACACAGCGAGTGGCGCGATTTGATTTTGATTTTAATTAATGTCGAGTGAGTCATAACTTTTTGAGATATATTGCATTATTATCACGTAGCAAAATGACAAAAGGCTTGGTGTAACGTCGCGAGTGTTGTACAAAGCGTAAATTGCTGTATAATCGTATGCTGATTAGTGCGTAATTACTTTTTTTGAATATCAAGTGAATATCATAAAGCAGAAAAAAATAAACGAGAAAAACGAAAAAAATAATTCATTAAACGCAAATTAAATTTATAAATTCATAAATTTGCAAAAAGTGGCAATAAAAGTAACTGTTAAATTCGTTATTCGTTACCGAAAACTGTAACAAAGCTACTTTTTTCATTACGAAATTTGTAACGTCGTTACCGTTACAGTTATCGAAAAAAGTAACTGTAACGACGTTACAAGTAACGCGTTACTTCCCAACCCTGGAAAATAATATATATAAATAATAAATAATTTTTATAAATTACTCACCACATATCTCTCTGGATGCTTCAGGCTCTGTCACTGCTCTCTGGCTGTCCAATACTTTTCCAGATGTCCTTCTCCTTTCTTTTTCATTCTTTGCTGTTTCCTCGTAGCACTGATATTCACTCGCGAACAAACAATTAATTATATTTAACCGTGTATAGAAACGATTGCGAGACACTTTGCATAGCACTCCCGATCGCGGAATAATTACGAGAAACGCACTTTAATATATCGTATCTCATGTTGTTGGCGCGCGATATTGACGACACTCCCGCACTCGCCAGCGATATTTTTATATCGCTATTTTCGTTATTTTACACGCGATGTATATACTTAATATGTATATACCTTTAATGGCACTCCCTAATATATATACTTAACGCGACGCGTTGACGAAGCGCTTGCCGTCCGCGGCATGTTGACGGCACCGACGACGCGAAAGGGTACTTAGCTTCCCTTTCAGGCACCTTAAGATTTATCATAAATTGAAAAATTTAAGATAAATCTCAAGGCACCGTCCAGGTACTAAGCCCTCCCACCGCGACAAGGTGTATCCTATGGGAGGGTTATATTATATTATATATATAATTTTATATATAATATAATATATAATTAATTTTGTAATATACTATATAAATTTTAATTCGCAAATATAAACGATAAATAAAAATATAAAAGATAAGAGAAAATCTATTATATAAAGCAATGTTCAAAATAATTGTTAGAGAAAGAATTTAATAATATATGGAACGTCTCATATCACTACCTCACTGTTCGAAGACCATTGAGGGAATGATCGTAGGTCAGAAACATTACCGCAATATTGTTTATATCGCCAAGACCGACTTATATTATGTTATTGTTATAATTCGTCGTTGAAATATTCTATGAATGATTGCCGATTAAGAAAATTTAAAACATTGGTCGAAATTTATTTAATTCTAATAAGTATAAGTTAGATAAATTATTATACTAAGCAGCAATAATCGAAAGACCATAATAAAATTAATTTCTTTATCCCTTTTTATATTTCCTTTTTCAATTTTTATTCGCAGTAATTAATGATTGCGGTTCGATAAAGATTTATCGTTGCGATACATTTTCATGACGTTTATCATAAGTTAATTTATTTTTAATTATTAGTAATTATATCAAATTATGTTTTGATACTAATCGTAATCGTGTTTAGAAAAAAAATTCGACAATATGCGAAGCGTTTCGCATCACTACTTTATCGCTCAAGTGTCATCATGCGAATAATAATAAAGCCGTAACATATTTAACAATAGCGTGCTATTGTTTATATTGCCAAAGTCGAATGCTATGTCGATAATTCGTTGCCAAAATATTTTATAAATTATAAAATATACATTAACATGGAATATTAAATTATGGAAGTATTTTAATTTATTGGTTAAAATTGATTATTTATTAAATAATTTATCACGGATCTAATTATTTGAATTTATTCGATTATTTTACCGCGCTTTTCCGAAGTCAAATTCTATAATATTTAGTTTTGCTTTTAGTTATATTTTAAAAGATTGACTTATAGCGAGCTAAATAAATAAATAAATAAATGTTGAACAGAAAAAAAGACACATAAAAAAATAAATAAATAATAGTGTGGAAAGAGAGAACATAGCACAAAATGGCGGTATAGCAAGGTGCTTACGTATATTAAATAAATTTTAAAATAAATGAGAAATGACGAATTTGAATATATATATATATATATATATATATATATATATATATATATATATATATATATATATATATATATATTCCGTGCTATGTGCACGAAATATCCGTAACACGAATTCTGTAAGGTGTTTATGTATATTAAATATATTTCGATGATAAATAAATTTTATTATCTTTCTCTCTCTCTCTCTCTCTCTCTCTATATATATATATATTCAAATTCGTCATTTCTCATTTATATTAAAATTTATTTGATATACGTAAATACCTTGCTATATAGCACTGGTGCTACCGCCATTTTGTGCACATAGCACGGAACAGAACCAGAAATTGCACATTATATGTTACCCTCTGAGAACTTTCGTGGACATTGGCTTTGTAGTTCATGTCCACGTTTTTAGATTAACAGAGGACGTATCGCTTTCAGGGATCACCTAAAAGCGGGCCATGACACCTCTCAGTCTTCTCTCTGTATATACACGTGGTGTTTAAATTGTTTGATTGATCATAATAAAAAGTGCCTAAAAAAATTTCTATGTCAAAATTATATTTGATTGTGTCATTAGTATTTTATCGTGTAAATAATAATAAAGATGTTTGTGCTTGCGGAATTAAAAGACACCGTCAGGATATTACCGAGCAACTTTAAATACAAATTAAATGATGTTGTTGCTGATGAATTAAACAGAAAACTCGCTAATAAAGTATATATTATAAATTATACTTTTATAAGATAAATTTATATTAACGCTGATAAAATTATTCTATATATTGTCATTACACAGGTTTACAAGGATGTAGGTCTTTGCATTGTGTTGCATGATATTACGAAGATCGAAGAATCATATATTTTTCCAGGAGACGGAGCTTCCCATACAAAAGTGACGTTTCGATTTATCGTGTTTCGTCCATGGATAGAAGAAATATTAATAGGAAAAGTTCGCAGTTCTAGTTCCGAAGGTGTACATGGTAACAATCTGATATAATTATCTAATTCAGTCTTTTATTATGTTTTTTTGTTGTTATTAATATTTATATTTGATTACAGTTACATTAGGATTCTTTGAAGATATAATTATACCACCTCACAAGTTACAACACCCATCACATTTTAATCAAACGCAACAAATGTGGTTTTGGGTATATAAGACTGAAGATGGAACGGAACATAATTTATATATGGAAACAGGTATATACGTATCTTGTATGAGCACAAGATTAAAATTAGCACATATTGGTTTAAATATATATCATTAAATTAAGATATTTAATTTTAGGAGATGCTATACGGTTCAGGGTAGTAGAGGAGATTTTTGCAGAGACACCTTTACCATCTACAGTTAATACTCGTGATGTAAGCGAAATACCGGAAACCAATAATGTTGCACCATATATTTTACATGTAAGTATGTTTATAAATTTTTTAAATTATATTCATCAACATGCAATTCAACAATATCTCAATATATTTGGTAGGGATCGATTGACGAACCTGGTTTGGGTTTACTTATCTGGTGGAAAGATGTATAATACATCTCAGTAGGGAGAATCCTAAATAAAAATAAAACAAAAAAGGTATGATTATGTAAAGTACAATAAATTCTGGTCAATAAATTTTTATTTTACAGCATATTCCATTATTCTGTATCGTCATTTAATGTTGCATCTGTGAATGGCATTTCATAATGTGGCTTAATTTTCCAATATAACTTCACTGTGTAGATATATCTGTTCAGTTTTGATTGATAACAGAATTATCAAGTATAATTTGTACAATATGTACAAAGGCGTTATGTGCTTAATATATGACAACACATAGAAATTATATTTGCGCACAATTTTATCAGATTGTTTGTTTGAGAGATCATCTATTTTGATTACTACATTGTAACTTAATTTAATAGAATAAATCTTAAAATTGAATGCTATAATTATTACTATAATGTGAGAAAATATACAATATTTTGACAAAAATGATCTTAAAGTTAGATTTTATTAATGAAATATATTATGCAGTGTGATATATATATTGTGCAATAAATGCTTTCTAAATTTAAGATTGTTTATTAGCTTATCTAATTACATTTATAATATATACTTATTTGATAATGACAAAGAATATAACTAATGAAAAATCTTCAATTTAGAAAATACTGATTGCACAATATATATTGCACTACATATTTTGAAGTTGCATTTTAGAGAAATTAAAACGTATTCTTTGGCAAGTTTTTGCTGTTGTCCTAATATACGATCCAAACATGTAGCGCTCGATTCAATTGATAAATATGATGCACTTTGTTTAATCATAAATCATAATACATTAATAGAGTCTACTTATTTGATAATATTAATAAAGGGTATATATGTATAATTACATATATCGACATAATAAATTATTAAAATTATTCACTTGAAACACATGCAAAACATCTTGTCTAATTATGTTACATGTTATATATGGTCAATGTATGTTACATTAATATATACTCAATGTATAGTCAAAAACCACAAGGAACATACCTAGCGAAAAACCTTAAATTTAGAAAACATTAATTGCACAGGGGAGATATTTTTATATTTATATATCTATATATAAAGGTAACGTATGAATGACGATGTGTATCGTAGGTGCAATAATAGTGAACCTCGATTCTTCGTCTACAACATGTATGTATCATCAAACGAATAACACGAATCATGTATTCATGAATAAATTGCTCAAGGTAAAATGGCTTGGAATGTTATCTTCTGTATAATCAATATCTGCTACATACTTTCTTTCAAGCAACATGTGTAATGTGTTGCAGCTATAATCGCAAAAAATGGGACAATGCGCATTTGTAAATGAACGCATTCGGCGGAGGCAACAATCGAGCAACAATTAAATATATAATCGATACATACTCGAATAATTATTTAATTGCTTTACTTTTGTATGCATGTCGGATGATTTAATCATTTAGATGTACGCGAACCAATTAGAATTACGTACAATATAAATTTATCACAGTCCTAACTGTTGAGTCTCTTGCCATACATTTACTCGAGCTTTTTCTACACTACTAGGAGGCAAAAAAAGAAGGATCTCACTGATCTCTTCTTTTTGATGCATTATCAATCTCTTCTAATGTACAATATCGAGAAAAATCACTTCTGTACAAGATCATTACAATGCGTAGGCATGAGAATCTCTTTTCTACTTCGTCTAACTGATGTTAGACATACATTGCAATCATACATGCCTGTAATGTGTGATTACATGGCCGAATGAAAAAATACGAACAAAAGTGCATGGGACGTTAGTAATATTAAAAATGTCTATGCATTAATATTTTGCACATTTGAGGGCTAGTGTGTTTTTTTTTCTTAGACCATTACGAGGAAAAAACATATTGTTCTTTCATATTATCTGGACGTCAGTTGCTTCTTATCTGTCTATACTGCTCCCTTCGATTATACCGTCTTTGTTTTTTCGAAATATTGCTTTCTGCGAAATCCCGCAATTAAAATCTATTCTCCTTAATACTTTTCGTTTGACACATACATCTATTCGCATATAAATAATCTTATTTTTTCGCGGATATTATATTCGTCATTAAACATCGTTTATTCGATGATTAGGCAACGCGGTAGATGTTCACGTAGATAATCAAATAATTCTCGCGATGTTCCTGGACAATTAGTTAGTTCTAACTCGTGTAAATGCCGAAGCTGTATCAGACTGGATAAACCACTACTTGTGAGCAATGGGCAACCTATATAAAGTCAAATATATAAATCAAATATAATTACGTTTGTATAATTTAATATATATCATAATTTTCGTATGCAACTTATATATACGTATAAAACTATATTCAGAGATATGTAACTTTACCTGCCACTGACAACACCTGTAGAGATCTCATAACGCATAAATGTTGAAGTCCGAAATCTCTAAGTTGCGAACACCATCTTAAAAACAAGGCGCTCAGCGAAACCATTGTAGAGATGTAACCCACACCAATATCTGTGATGTGTACACACCTATATAATAGTATGAAAAAAGAATAAGATATAAAGGACACACAAATAGTACCAAACTAAATTACGCCGCACATGTCAGAAATACAAAATAGTAGACAAGACGCGTAGATTTATTTGTCATGGCAAATAGTCGCTTGGCTAAAGATAATTATGGACCTAGCTTTACGCAATTTTCTGTCACTTTGTGATATGTGAATCAGTTATGTAATGGATGGTTTTAAATAGAATGTCTAGATAAATACATGCTAAATAACTAAAAAATTCTTGAAAGATGCTTTCCAAAAATTATACATCTTTTTTAAGATTATCTTCATTTTGATAATATTAACATTTCTGAATAAGAGATATAAGAAAATTTATATATCTATAAAGTATGATTTGACAGAATATTATGCAAAAAAAGAAGTGCAATATTTCTTCATTTATATTTTATGAATACAAATACTGATTTTTTTTAGAAATCACTATTATATTTGCTATTTAATTGTCTAAAAGTGATATTTTGAAAATTATATTTCAGTAATTTTTTCTTACCTATCTAATGTGAGTTCTTCTAAATTATTCAAATCACAGGCAATATATTCTAAGGCTGCATCTGTAATCCTTGAGCACCAGCTCAGATCTAAGGAACGAAGTCTTGGCAAATTTTCCGCGATTAATTCGACACCGTCATCTGTCACCTTGCTGCATCCAGAAAGTGACAGCACAGTCAGATTCGGTAAGGAATGTACTAAAACAAAGACAAATATATTAATTTAATTTTTAAAAAAATTATATTTGCAAGGGAAAAGATTTTAAAATTATGTATAAAAATTTTTTAACGATACTTCTTATTATTATCTTTATTTTTTAGAATAAAAGTATTTCTATATTCTTTTTTAGAATAAAAGTTATAAAGCATAGTTACAATTTTATGTTGAAATTTATTATTATTTATTACATTTTTATTTTAATTATTTTATAAATGTAATTAATATAAATTTCACGTTCAGAAAAATGCAAATACTTGAGATATAAAATTTTGTAAATTTCATCATTTTCTTTTGCCACTTTCTATTTAAATAATGGTATCGAATCATTGTCCGCAATGTATACGCACGCGTACCTCATATAATTCGAGTCTGAACTACAACATGAAAGCTAAATAAAGCTGTGTTTCTTAATTCTAAATTTAATTCCAAGCACATATGTACCTGTCTTAATTTCAGCCTATCACTATTGTACATCTCATTTACTTTTATCTCTCACCGAAAATCTTGGTCAGAATTTGGCAAACAACTCACGATTTTCAAGAATAATCGTATAATCTACGTAATTATAATTTAATGTAAAGCATCATCATTTGATTTTAATTTAATTTTAAATCAAAATAATTTTTTTTTTAATTTGTAAAGTTAAAACAATAATATTATCACAATAATTTTATCTGATATTATATAACATCGCTATATCTCGAATACATTGCAATGTTCAATGAAAAAAATAAATCTGAGTGAGAAATATTAAAAGAACAAAAGATAACGATTCTCACCAATATTTACTACGCCGTGATTTGTGAGCTCCCAGCAGGATTGCAGTTTCAAGATGCTGAGCGCACTGCTTTGTTTTGCACTGAAGTAACCAAGCGCAGCATCAGTAACGTGATAAGCTTGCAGAGAAAATTCGTAGAGGCTTGGTAATAGCTGAGCTACAGCGCCGACGGCTTCATCGGCCACATTAATGCAATCCGATAAAGACAATGATACTATTCTAGGAGTGAGACATGCCCATAATCCAGCTTCCGTTATTTCATTGCAGCCGGTTAATTCAAGCTCGTATAATGCCTAAAAATAATTAGAAAAAAATTGTATCGTTTTATTTGATATAATCTCATTATAACTAAATCCATCATTTAAATGGAATTCTATGCAAATAAAGTAATTTATATTACATAAAATTTTTTCTCATGATTTTAAAAAATCTACTTATATAATTTTGGCAATAAGTGCAATAAATTAAATTATTTTAATATTTATAGTAATAGAAAATTAATAATATTGTAATAACATTAAATCTTGAAAAATATTTACAAGGATTTTTATAACTTCGTTTTTGTTATATTTTTTAATTTACTTTCATAAACATATTTCATTACTATTTTCAAAAATTCTTATATTTAAATATTTTAATATTTTAATACGTTTATTCGTGATTATTTTAAAATTGCAAATTTATGATAAATTTCTTATTATAGAAATTTCTTATTGTAGTTTATCTAGAGCCAATACAAATATAGTAAATAGTAAACAGCAAACAGTGAAAATAGAAAACGTATACAAATTTACCTGCAAGTGATCCAAAAGAGCCTCAAGGCCTCGGTCCGTTACCGCGCAACATCGTAATGATAAAGAGTGCACGTATCGTTGTGCCAACGGAAAACCACGCGTTAATTCCGGAATATCTTCGTCAGTCGCAGCTAGGAGGACCAAAGAGTCAAAACCTCTTCTTACTAAGGAAGCATATAATCGGGTACGCGAGGTCGGCTGCATAGCGCGAGCTTCACGGCATCGTACTACTGGTACTAGACCCGTCCAAAGACGCGGTTTCGCGTACAGAATGTCTCTCCATCTCGTGCAAACCTGCGTACAAAGATATAATGCAATTATTCAAGGAGAATAATGTATAATTCTAGGAAGTATAATACAATTATTCTAGGAGAATAGATATATTATCAAGAGGCAAGCCATATAAAAGTTTAAAGAGGATCGAACTAAAGCAAACTCTTGAGATTAATGAAGTTTGATATACAAATGCAATTATAAAGAAATTATATGTGAGTCATGTATTTTAATTTTAGAATTTACATTTTTACGAGATGCATTTCTGCCATATACTTATGGAACAATATATCACATGGAAGAATAATATAGAAAGCAAAAGTCTCTTTTTTTAAGATTAAATTTTTTTGATTAAAGATTATTAAAAAAATCTAAAAAAATTACGTTGTCGATAAAATTGCAAGTTTGCTTCTATTATTTATATTTTGATTATTCATTATGAATGAAAAATTGCTTCCGGCATGTACTTGAGCTAAAATCCTTCTCTCTGTAGCATTGAAATAGAGAAAAAACCGCCCGAGAAAATTGTCATCTTGCATCAGTTGTTCCCACGTAATTGGTGGTACGTAACCACCGGTTCCTCCGGTGGCTAATGGTACGGTCATTTTTATTCTGTTCCTGGGTATCATTCTGGCTCTGCTCGGAGTGACATTATTCAAGCGTTCTTTGTTATTGCTCGCCGGTACATTGTTGATAGTTTGCGCGACACTTCGGCTGGGTTTTTCGGGCGTCGCATTTGCATTATTCGCGCTCTGTAAATTCATATAAGCGACACTGCCACTTCCACCGCAAAAGACGTTTGTCACGCGTTCCATGACGCTAGTCTTTCCGCCCCCTGAAAATTTGAAATCGATTTTAATCCGTCAGTTCAACAAAATCAGATGTGCAAATTTGATCAGAAGAATTAAAGAAGTATAAGTATTTTAAAACTATGTATAAAAATTGCTCAAGGTTGTATGAAGCTAAGAATTTTATGAAAGCGATTTGCAGAAACGAAGGTCAAGGGAATTTGTGAGAAGAAAGATTCATGGAAATTGCAATATTATAGACGATTGGAATATTATATATCTTGAGCAAGATGCAAATCGAGATTTAAAATGTTTAAGTAACCGAATTTCTTCAAAAAGAATTTCTCGACAGTTTTTAAATTGATATTATGAGCATAAATATATTATAATTTTTTATTAGAGGAAAATTTAAGATGACTTAAGACTCCCCTGAGTGCTCTTGTTTTATTTCCTAGCTGTACGTCCTATTTGGCTCGTGGTGCACCGCTATTTCCTGTTTGTAATATATCTTACAAATTGTTTTTATTTTTAGTAACTGCATTTGAGATATAGTTTTATCTAGTCTATAGTTTTATCTTGAGTCATGATAAAAAAAATCAAGTAATCGTAAATTTAATAAAGACCAATGTAAGAGATTATATCGTAATAAGATTTTCTTTTGTATGTATTTGTATTCTGCATTTAATTCTTCGATCGATGAAAAAAGTATATGTAATTCTGTAATCTATTATATCTCTCTCAATTTAAATCAAAGATCAAATCAAATAATTAATAGTTTAGTTTTCCTTTCTCTCTCTTTTTCATTTCAGTATGTATTAAATCTTATTATATGCGTATATTTAAAGGCAAAAGAGAAATGCTAGGTTTATGCCTTTTTTTGCTCAGAATCAAATCTGTCTCTGGTTAGACTAATCATGGTTTTGCCGACCCGGGACTGGCATCTATCCAATCATGAAGATTGCCTATTTGCGTATCTGAATGTAAACCCGGTCGAGCCAAAAACGATGCATCTTTAAACTGTCGAATGTAACGATCAGTCGCAATGCGAACACCAACATATTTAATATTTCAAAATTGGATCCAATGTTTGGTCCTCAAATCACAACTACTTAGATGCAATTATCTTATCACTCTAATGAATCAGGCGGTCGCGATTGCTGCAAAACGCGACGCTAAACGGCTGAATAAGTATACGTCTCGTTATGTTTGAGCTACTATTTTCGCGTGCACGAGAACGTGTATGTATCGATTCCATTGCAGTTAAAATTGCGACGACGAAAGTCACGTAACGGTATCGCTTAATAAATTACGGAAAAAAAAATATCGCGTGTAAATAGCACGAGATTTATCCCCGCGCTCATAATGAACGCGTCATATATTGTTGACGCTGCTGGATAAATAAAAAGAAAAACAGGGAGAGATAAAAGGGAGAGAGAAAGACGGGTTGTCACAAAGAAATCAATCCTTTATCGCGATTACGTAACAATAGGATTGAACCGAAGGGTTTAACGTCGTTCGATCCGGAACGCACCAAGTGAGAAAAATCGCAGGGACGACCCTTAGCAACCCTTTGCCGCTCGTCTTTATTTTTCATCACCGTCCAAGCGGAAGATAAACTTGACACCGATCCGAAGCATGCAGTCTTTCTTCTCGTCTCTGCTCTCGATAGCGTGGAAAAAAGTCAAAGCTGATGCGAATTCAACACGGAATCTATATGACGCACGCCACTACAAGGGGAGGAAGTGGTGGGTAACGTATAACAGGGGAGCTATACAAGTAGCAGATACACAAAGATGACGATAACAAAGCACAAGGATGGAAAGGAATACGGCGAAAATATGACGTCTTCACCACCGACCATGATGCTTCGATGTCCTCAATCCCAGGCCGTTAATTCGCTTGGTCAATTCGGCGCTGGCACGCTCGACAACACCCTGCGCTGATATCGAAGACATATCTCGATGGGGTACTCGTCAGCTCTCGTCCCGTCTCGCACTTGTTCCTCGGCGCCCGTGATTCGTAGTCAAGAATAATACAGTTCGGTTTGCGAATGACGAGGTCGCATCATATTTGACGGTTTGACAGTGATAGTCGGACGTATACAGAGGACGAGCTTTCTTTGTGAATAATAACGTCGCGCGCCGGCGGCGGCGGCGGCGCTTCCTGTTCGCACTACGCGCTCGCAAGGGGATGATGATGGTGGTCGCACGATGAGGGGATGATGAGAGCGCGCACTTGCTCCTCTTCCTTAGCGCGTAATAACTCTCACTTCGGATCTTCAAAAAAATAAGAAAAAACAAACACGCGTCACTTTCAAAATCAATAATCACGATCAACGCGACATAATTTTACACTTACGAAATATATGCGGCGCACAGTTAGCGTTGTCAACAGTAATGACGATAGAAATCTGGTAAACTTGGTCCGTTCCTAGCGTGTTTTCAGCAACGACGACGGGCCACTTTGTACTGACAATATTCGCGTCGTCGTGCGTTTCTGTTTATTACAACGGGCATGGCAGCAAAGCGAAGTACAAGCGCGCTGCTGGCAACACATGGGGGTGGTTTGAGCGAGACTGAATCGATATTCGCGCTACTGATCTTGTCCGGCTGCCTTTTCCCCACCTCCGCCGGGGACTACCAGGCGCGTGTCAGCCACATATGCCTGCCAACCGATGAACCGTCCGACAGAGTTGCGCAGCTGGCCGCGACAACTTGTGTTTTACCCTTCGAGCCACTTCTTCCATATTCGATGATTTAAAAATTGCAATTGGGCTTTGAAATGAACAAATAAACTATCAAGAGATATATTTTTAACAAAGAAAGAAATACTAACATTATTAATGATATTAACATAAAATTTAAAACTAGAAAATACCATATTATATGAGATTCTCGTTTTCGCAAATTGGATTCAGGTTTTCGGGACACCTTGTATTTATCGATGACGTCCGCGAACAACGTCAGTGGCTAATGTTATCTCTTTGTAACAATACATTATTGAATATACATTATTGCACTATATATTTTACAAAGGATAGAAGTTCGTTCTAAGGAGGTAGGTCGCGATGTGGAAAATTTAATGAGGTGATTAATGAGAAATTGTATAGTATTCATTTTAACATTTATACATCGTTGTATTGGATGTAATATCTCTGATCTTTGCAATGTAAAAAAAGTTTCATGTTTACACTATCTTGAGACCAGCAATGGAATTCTCTAAAAGCTTAATAAAGAAAAAAAAGGATAGATTAGAATATATCATAATTATTAATAATAAAATAACGCATAAGACACAAATTACCTTCAAGTCCCAAACTACAAGTTGTCCATCTAAACTGCTTGTGCTAAATTCATGATCGGATACTCGGCGAATGCAGTTGATTGTATTTTGGTGCATGCTATCTAAAGCATTATCGTTCGTTTCATTCCTCGCTTGCCGATCTAACGATTGAAACTTTCGCATGGCAGACAATCCGGCAATCTCCTTTTTCTGTGTGTTATCCAACTTTGACGCAAAATATATTTGTCCATTGTCGTCTATAGAATATAACATCGGCATACAGCTATGCCCCTATGTGAGTAGAGGTTCATAGTTAGTATAGCGAACATTTATCGTATAATTTAAAGAGTTACATTGTTTACCGCGGCAACAATGTTATTAGATCCTATCCAAACGCAACTTAAAAACGGTAAATGTTCTGTGTACAGCCTCATAACTGCGTTTCCTTTAGTAGCATCGGCGACACATATAGACGAGTTGTGCGCCACCCAACAGATTTTATTGCCACATGGACTGAATGCTACTGAATGTATCCAGCCACCTAAATACATAAAAGTAATAATCATATAAAGTTCAATTTTTCTAAATAACAATGCTATATTTATATTTTTCAATAATAAATAATAAAAAGAATTTTACCTCCATTGGGTGTATTAGGGAACTCGGCCAATAAAGTTCCTAAGGTATTACTCTGGCCCCAGGGAGTAGTGCCTGGGGCATCGTCTATATCACTGATAAATGCACTGAAGACACGGACTTTATAGTCCGTAGATCCAGCAACCAGAACCTTGTTATCCGGATGCCAGTCAACGGTAGTTACCGTAGACCTTAATGGACGCTTTATATGTTTACATAACCACCAGTTATTCTCTGACGCAAAGTAACAAATAGCTATAACTCGTCCCCCGGAACCAACAGCAAATTTATTTTCTGTAAAGACGATCATTATATGGAAATAAAATAAAGGTATATAAATTCAAACATAAATCCTACAAATATATACCTAGAGGAGACCATTTTACGCAAGTAGCGGCTCGATTTATTCGTAGAAGGACCCACGCGGGATCCCACTTGCCATCTTCTTTTTGAGTCCACACATAAGCGTTTTTGTCCGCAGAACAGGTGACTATGCGATTGGTCTTTGGCGACCAGTCAATTCCCATGACAGCCATGTCATGTTCCTCCATGGTTTCCAGCAGCTTCCACCCGGATGACGTGCGTCTATGCACCTGGATCTCATTGTTATTCGGGCATATGGCAACTTCTGCGAAAATGAAAATCGATTATCGGCCTCCGGCAATTAGATATTCAATATCTAATAATAATGTCAGACATGAAAGCCGGATCTCCGTACCTGTTCTATCCCTGTTCCACGCATGACAACTGATGGCATCGACACCGAAGTTATAGATCTCCGTCATTTCGTGCTCGCTACTTGCGAAAAAGACGCCTCGGGACGTCTGACGCGTAAGTGAAAATTAGGGAATCAAATAACGAGGACGTTCAAGGATAGCGGCAATGAATCAGAACACCTGAGACGAACTTGAGACGGGCGCGGCCGCTGATGAAACGTTACCAAGCGAGAATTCCGGCGTCCGGGCAATCGTATATATCGGACAGCACTCACGGAAATTCGCGGACTCTGGTCAGTCTACACGAATTTCCCCGGTCTCTCCTCACGGTCGCAAAACACGCCCCTCAGCACACCGGAATTGACGGTTCATCCGTAGATAGCGGGTTATCTGTCTCCGCTACGAGGTTATGTTGTCCCGGATGTACGTATTGCACTGTACGCGCCTTCTATCCTTGTTCTAGTCTTTTACAGCGGCGATCTCTGTCGAGCGTAGGCCGAAGTAGAGACCCTGTAGATTGGCCATCTGCTCAGAAAAAGAAATCGAAATATGAATAAGTATCGAATTCAATATATGTGTGTACATTTGTATTTAATTATTTAATTATTAACATAATTATTTACATTTAACTATTAACATTAACTATTAATGTATTTAATTATTTGAGATTTATATTATTATTATTAAGATTTATATTAAATATATAAATATATTATATATATTTTATTTATTTATTTATTTATTTTTTATTTATTTTTATTTCTTATTTATTTTATTTTTTTATTAAAATTTTTATTTGTTATTTATTTTTATTTGTTATTTATTTGTTATTTATTTTTTATTTAATATTTTTTATATTTTCTTTATTATTTAATAATATTATTTCTCATTACATTCACAATTATTTTTACATTTAAAAAAAAATACATTTATATATCATTAATTTAACGATACAACTTTAGTGCAAGTATTCGTATTTCAAATGTCAGTTCGCGCTCGATGAACAGCTTTTCTTATTGATGCCGCCATTATCTGGGCATAAGTTATATGCACCAATCACGCCGAATCCTCGAATGGCCAGTCTCTAGTACAGGGTCTCTAGGGTTGAAAGAGAGCTAGGGAATTTAGGTCGATGGGATTGGTCGTCCTAGCTGAAGTATTTTTTTCAACTTCGAGTTTCCTCTCTGGGTTCTAGTTTCAGACTTTGAGTGGAAATCGATTTTGCAAAGTTGGTACACCTGCCCCGGTAGTAACGATATATCCATAAAAGCGAAGAGGAAGATTTTATAGTCGAGATAAAAAAAGGATGCTGTTACGTTGCCGTAGATCGAGATGTGTGCTATCGATTGGAACTGAAAGAGCAACGTATTTCCACTTTACATTCGACTACTTTTTTCAAGAAAAAGGTAAGAGAGCGTACAAATTTTAAATTCGTCTCGGAGGAGCTTGGGGAAGGGTTCGATTCTTTCTCAACCTCGCGATAAAATCGATAATTTAGATAACCGTTTCTTACCTTTTACGACTTTTTCAACTTTCGTATTATAAAATACGCAATAAATGGGCAACGAGTAAGATAGAATGCGATAAGAATGCGAAATAGATCGATTAAAATGTAAGGAAAATTGAAACGACGCCGGTAGGCGCCGCGCGCGCCAAATCTGTAACTTCATCGCGAAGCATCATCTGCCATTTCGATGATGGAAACTTGTCGATTGTTTCTCTCGGTTCGAAAAAGCAGCGATTGCGGCCGATATAAAGTAGCCGGTCGCAGCTGGCACGACTGCAGATTTATTTCCGCGGCGCAAATCGCCGCTGTCGTACAGCACAAAGCCAAAAAGCGTCCTCGTTTAATCTACCGGCCATTTCGTCGTACCTTGCGTTTGATATAGCTAAGGCTGCGTGATGAAATATTTTCCATCGCGGATTAAGGCCGTAAAATGTCGATGGTACCGTTTCCGAAATTGTGCGATTCTTTGTATTCGCTACGTGTAATCTTGATGCATTCTCCTTCACTTTAGATAATTTTCAGATAATTTTCATCTATATAAATGTATAATTTATTATTTAACGTAAAGGAATTTTTGACAACTCGAACGTTAATAAAAAATGTGATAAGATTTAATTATTTAATTGTAGACTTAATGATATAATTATATAATTATTATATAAATCTTTCCGTATATTTTTGTAATAATTGAGAATTGATAAATTCCTTCAAGCTAAATAATAAACGTTTATATATGAAAATTACTTGAATTCATACTTCAAATAAAATAAAATATCAATGTGCATGTAAGTATATTACTGCAATAATTAAACTTATAATTATATAAATAATGAAAAGTTTTTTTCCGTATATTCAAGTTAATATAATTTTTTAAATTAAATATGATAAACCCAAACAAAGATTTCTCTAAATCTTCGTTGCCTGAAGTCATAAATAAATTCGCATGTTTTATAGTTTAATTATTTTTATAATTTAATTTAAAAAATTTTAATAAAGGAGATATTGAACATTATGTTATTATGTTGGAGTAAGATATTTATCGCTTATTTTTCGTAAATATTATATAAGTTAAAATTAACTTAAAATTTAATCTTTTTTTTTCTTTTTCCGGAAATTAATTAACAAAAGGAAAAGAATTATTTAAACTTCAGTTAATTTTAACTAATGGCTTCATGAAAATCCTATAACAAGATTTATTTAATCACTTAAACTTTGTTTTTCCTCTTAATAATTTAAATTTATAGAATATAATACGCGTATAATCTTTCGCTCTTATGATTATCCATTATAAGTATTTTGTGAATGTTTTCTGGCAATATATCCCATGATCTCAAACAAGAACACTCTCTCTCCTATGCATTTAAATCTCTGTTTACATTTCCTAGAAATAATTAAGTAATTATGATTAGCAATAATGCTTGCAATTATAGCGGAAAGCTAAAAATAATAATCATCATAATAGAGTAAACAAAGAAGAAAAATTCCAAGATATGCATAATATTATATGTGATAATTTTTACATATAGATGTCTATTATATTTAACGTACAAGATTTTCATTAATTTAAATATTAAATATACGGAAAAAGATTTTAATTATATAGTTATATAATTAAATAATCAAATTTTTTCATATATTTTTTAAATATTTGAATTGATAACATTCTTTTAAAAATAAGTAATAAAGTAGATAATTATTTGAAATGCATATCTTGCAATTATTCTCCAATACTTTAATTATATTATTAAATACTTTTGTATTTAACATTTAAATTTATAATATTTATTTACACCGAATGTGATTATAAACTTATATAAAATGATATTTTTATGGATATCTACTATTTAGATTAAATGAGTCTTATTAAATATAAAATACATGGAAAAATTATTTAATTATATAATTTAAAAATTTATTAATTAAAAAATTTAATTTGCTAATTTAATAAAGCAAAACAATTTTATAATTATTGAATGAACTTGTCGAACGATGATGTATATTAAATTTCTGTTTTTATCATTTTCTACAACGATTTTAACTTTCTATATTCTTCAAAAGTTATTTATTAAAATGATATGTATATATACATATATATATGCAGCAGCATACATTTTGCTTTACTATGCAAAACGACTTTCTATCCAGAGCTATAGCTCTCTCTTTCCCTTTCTCTTTCAAATTAACTTAATAGAATTAACGAAATTCTATTACTAAGTAGATAAAAGCTCTCCTGTGTGCCTCAGTATACATCAAAAGAGACTTTTTAATATTTAGTACAATATGATATAATAGAGTTATTATCTCGTTTTAGTGGCTAGGTAAACACGGAATTAATATATTAAAGAATGTATTTTACCGCAAAAGTAGTATTAAAATTTGTATATGAAATTTCAAATATTACACGTTTCTGATCATTATTAATTAAACTTAAAACATAAGGAATAGTATGTATTTATTTACATTATTATTTATCTACATAAAGAAATATCCCATGTTTTAATTTTAATGCTGCATAAAATACAAATTTTACTTATATATTTATAATATATCTGAAATAATTTTTTTAGTCTCAACGTATTTCAGGTATCCTGTAAAAGAATAATTTTTATTTGTATCTTAAGAACAATACCCACCTTTCCCATTACGCGAATGGTCTTATAGTATCGACTTTACGAGTACAGTAATGCGAATACAATATTCGATGTGGTCACAGTGAGATCCGGAAAACCACCTTTGCCACCGAGAAATCAGTCCCTTGAGAATTGGCTTGGCCTGGGTCTGACAAACAAACTGGTTAGACCACCGCTGCCTCGTATCCGTACTAAATAACTGCTTTCCAAGAGCGTGCCAAGTCGTTTTCGAAATCAACTACCTTGTCGACCTTGATGTTTTAGTCTTGATATACACTAATTCAGGTGAATTCAAATCGAGACAATGTATTTGATTAATAAAAGTAGAAGGATAAATGAGATTGTAGATTGTGGGAGAAAAAGTATCGCGTGGGAGAAAAAGTAACGTTTGAAATATTTCGAATTTTAGATATCAGATTATTTTCAGAAGAATATAAACAAAAAATTTGCATAAATATTTAAAAAAATGCGATATTTTTAATATCTTGAAAAATTAAACAAAATTTGAACTGTTTTCTATATTATATTATCGTATTACATATATTATAAGTTTATATATGAAGATTTTTAACTTATTTAATAATTTAGATCATATAAATTTTTCAAAAATTTAATAGCAGTTTTAAAATAGGGAGAGATAGAATTCTGTGATTGTGGCATAGCTGGGTGTTATGTCCAATTTTTCCATGTACAGATTATCTCTTAATCGATTTTACTATGTCTATGTCATACACACACAGATCTATATATACAATCGCATACACACACATACACACGCATTTTTTAAAATTTGTTTCTTGAAAATTTAATAGAAAAATTTTTAAATTGTTTTTAGTCAAACTATTTCGAAAATATAGCACTAGTTACGATTATATCTATAAGAAATATAATTTAAGAAATAGTATTATTCATAGATCATTATTAATAGTATTATTTATTGAATTTTATTTCTACTTATAAATTTATATTTTCATTAATAATTGCGTATAGATTATTCGGAATATAAATGTGTTTTATTAATAGTTTCATATATTTATAAATTGTTTATAAAATTATTCTTTAGAAAAGTCATAACTTATTTTTTATTTAAAATATATAAACTTTTCGTCAAATTATAAGATTATAAAATTTATATACTTTTTTTAGTAAATCTATATATTGTCGGTATTTAACAAAGATATAACAAATAATAAAGAATTTTTATTATTTATTTTGTTATAATATATATATATATATATATATATATATATATATATTTCATCTTTATCTTAATTCAAACGAACAACCTTCTCTTATTTTCATTTTTAGATAATTCAAACTCATTATTTACATATATGTAAAAAAATATATTATAGATACATTTCGATAAATATCTAAATCTGTTTTTT